TGAACAAATCAGGCTTCAGTATCAGAGTAAACAGGAGTTTCCCCATAAGCGTTCAATGCAACGCTCGTTCCCTTATCTCAGGGAACGTCTCGGTTACGTATGTAACCCTCGTTCCCTGAAGGAGGGAACGGAGACGTCACGTCCCGTCGCCACAGGTCCTGTACCACCGCTGAGCGGCCGGGTCACCGGCTCGGCTCCTCAGCGAAAACCTGAATATGCGTTGCATCTGCTGCCTACTTATACTCACGCTGTGATCAGCGGCAGCTGGATGCAATAATTGCATGCCAATGTGCATTGGCTCGTTTAGTTTACACTCGAAGTAGATTGGTCCCTCTATGCGAGATCCCAATTCGTCGGTCATCCGACGTGACGTCGAGAGTGACCGACTGAAAGGGAACGTCTCGGTCACGTATGGTAATCCTCGTTCCCTGAAGGAGGGAACGGAGACGTCATGTCCCGTCGCCACAGTTCCTGTACCACCGCTGAGCGGCCGGGTCACCGGCTTGGCTCCTCAGCGAAAACCTGAATATGCGTTGCATCTGCTGCCTACTTATACTCACGCTGTGATCAGCAGCAGCTGGATGCAATAATCGCATGCCAATGTGCATTGGCTCGTTTAGTTTACACTCGAAGTAGATTGGTCCCTCTAAGCGAGATCCCAATTCGTCGGTCATCCGACGTGACGTCTCCGTTCCCTCCTTCAGGGAACGAGGGTTACATACGTAACCGAGACGTTCTTTAAAGAAACATGTCAGTTCGTATGAAAATTTTAATAATCTCAAGAACCTTTTTCCTTTATTGCTTTTTTCTTTCAAGCTGGGTTCACTGCTAAAGACTTGTTGCACCACAAGTACATTGATATTTATGTGTATTTGTCTAGTTCTTTCCCACAATCCTTTGCTGTGAAGCAAATGATAAATGAATGATAAAGCGGTGTGACCACCAGAGCGGGAACACACGTAAAGCCGAGGTTTATGAGCAAGGTGAAATGTGATATGAAGCCACGACATTTTCCTCGTAGAAACTCCCCATCTGCTCAATAATTCACACACCGTCTGCTCAATCGGCCTCCCACAAGCCATCAGTGCCAGACGTGGTGACAGACACCAGAACAGAAGCGCTTCAGCACGGTGACTGAAACATAGGAAATGCTGTGGACCAGGGGCTGGGTCAGAGGCCGTCGCTCAGGGCATCTCCATGACGTGCAGTCCCAGCATAGCCCACTCTGACATGCTCTCCCCGCTCTCTTCAGCTCTATATATAGATGTGCTCCGCTTCTGTCCACCTGCCAGAGGGTCTAAAAATAGCAGCATGCTCATTTTCCTTCGCTCCAGCTCCGCATCGGGCCGGCCGATCAACTTTCAAACCGCAGTAAGATGGGGGCGGAGATGGAAGGATAGACACTGATATCCTTGTAGTTGTACATGTCTTTCACACATGTCCTGCAGCAATGTGGCTTACGTGGATAACACCATTAAACATGATGGCCTCCCTCAGACTGTTCACTGTAAATCACATTTTATAAAATGGGCTCTAAAATCTGATTGGAAGAGCCTTGTTCATTATAAGTCTGGCATGAACGACTGTCATGCATTTTGTTGAGGAAAGGTGTCGCATTAATATTCTGAGCAATTTTATCTGCGATTTTCGACGAAAAAAAAAAAAACTATTTTAAACATTGACACAGTAAGCAACCACACAGCAATCACCCAGAACACAATAGCAACTACCTAGCAACCACCTAGCAAAACACACACAAAAATAGGGGTGCACTGATATTAAAATTCTAGTCGATACTAATGAGCCAATAATTATTGTGATGTTATGGCAGACAAAACAAAAAAATTCAATTTTTATTATATAGTTTATTATACATTATTATATAGTATGAACATTTGTGCAAATTAATAATGATGCACTGGTATTAAAATTCTAGCTAATACTGATAAGGCAATGATTATTGTGATGTTATGGCAGATAACCAATAAAAAAAAATTAAAATTAAAAACCAATACAATTCAATAAACATATATTATCATATTGTATATACATTTGTGTAAGTTAATAGGGATGCACTGGTATTAAAATTCTAGCTGATACTGATAAGCCAATAATTATTGTCATGTTATGGCAGATAACTACGGAGCCCCTAAAGGGACATGGTGGTGGAAAAAAAATTAGGGGTGGGAGGAAATATTTTTTTGCGTTCCCTCGAGAAACTTAGCGTTCCCTCGCAAAACTTTTGCGTTCTCTCGCAAAAGATATTTGCGTTTTGCGAGAGAACGCAAAAAATCTGACAAATATTTTTTCCTCCCACCCCAAATTTTTTCACTCAATCTGATTTTTTTCCACCACCATGTCCCTTTAGGGGCTCCGTACAAATCTAAATTAACGTATATAATTATTTTTTTTTTGCAGAGATTTGATGATGTGACACAATTTTGCGTCGTGATTCCGCAATGACATCACAACATCATTTAGCAACTTTTAGCAACAAATCGACCTTCCTTTAGCAACTTTCTCTGAAAATTAGTTGGCAACACTGAGCATGAAGCAAACATCAAATGTTCAGCAAGAACAGGAAGAGAGTGACTCTGAGATGAAACGCTAATATTTTAACTTTCAATGCAACTCCTGCAAGATGCCAAGCAGTTTTTCGATGGACTTTGGTGCTTAGTGTGCAAAAAAGCAAAACCAAAATAACTTCCTTAGATGAATAAATTCGAATGGAAAACGCGCACTATGGCTTCCTACTCTGAGGTGCCTTTTAGCTTTAGAAGAACATTACTTTATTACACACAGAACGAAAAACTTTGTTTAGCTGGTGTTGACCTGACGCAACTTCAAACAGAATAACCACAAAATACCAACTTCCCTTTCTTGCATTCGTCACCACAAGCTCTCAACATTTACACAAATGTCTAAATTCTGCATATTCATTGGTCCATTTTAAGCATCATACAACATCTCTTATGACAGGTGAAGTGATTTATCACTTAATGTTTCTTACAGCTTTGACTACATGAACTGACACAAATTACTTATTCAATTTGCATATAATTTACAGCGCAATAGTTCTAAATATTTTCTTGCTAAAGCATTTCAGTATGTTCTGTATGATATTTTTTAATCTGTAAAATAATGGCAGAAAATATACTTGTTTTATGACAAAACTCAAATATATTTTGAAACTCATCTCCAAAATGACTGTGATAATTGTTTAAAGATGAAATAGGTTTCGTTAAATGGAAGCACTTGTGATATTCATACTGAAGTCCTGGATCAAAAACTAATAAGGCAAAAACCACAGATTTCGGTTTGTAGACACAAACACATTCAGTGAATCACAATTACATAACTATAATCTGGAATCCTAATACAGACCTTCAGTGCAGAAGAATATGATATGATGTAGACTAAACTCTGTCTGCTGATTAGCATAACCATTTTGGGCATTCCTAATTGAGCCTCTAAATAAAGAACAACATTTTAATTTCATAGATCATTTGTGCAAGGAAAGTAATGTAAGGCGACCTATGTGTTGAATGAATTCTCAAGCAATATATCTTTTTTCATCCATTAGCAGTTCAACAGCATAGCATTTTGATTTCCCTTAGAATCATCCTTTCTTTTGTGGTTCTACATGTGCTTACGTGTGTTAGGTCAGGCTGGGAATGACAGATGTAGTGCATGTTCTTATTAGCTGGAGGAATGTTTTGAGATTACTCATTGGATAAAGCAGGCAAAGCCTTTTAATGCCATCATCCCAAATCACACGTGCCATTTATACTATTATTTATAACACCTCATTTAGTCATCTGTATTACCTCACAATACCTTCACCTACATTATATCACAATATCTCACTCCAATCATTTATGTTACACAAATAACAATGAACACTAATCTTTTATATTACATCAAAATACCTCATACCCGTTTTACTTCATACTATGCAATCTGAATCATTTTATACCTCAATTCTCTTTTTTTGTTGTTTTTTTTGTCCCTTTGATTTGTACTTGTCCTGTATATGTGTGTCTGTATATAAATAAAAGGATTTCCTCATCTGTAACAGACGTAAGTGTTTCACAAACACTGACCTGTACAAGTCCCACAGAAAGAGAGAAAGAGGAAGGGAGAGGGTTTATGGCTTTTAGGGCAGTGTTTTGCTGTGATTGCTCTGATATAGTGTGTTAGTGTGCGTCTTTAAGCTGGTTTTTACGTGCATGTGCAATCAGAGAATCCGTGTCAATGGCCCGTTCAAAGAAGCGAACGACAGACGGTTCATTCAGGAGAGACGCAAGAATCTGCTCGAAGGAGAAACTCCAGTCCCCGTCTCTGACCGTAGAGGGTGAGCTGGGGGTGTCTGTTGGCGTGTCCAACACGGGGCTGCTGGTTCCGGTGGGACTGCTGGTGGGCGTAGAAGGGCGTGAGGTTGAGGTCGGGGTAATGTCAGAGTGGGACGGGGCAGTTTCTTGTTGACTGACCGGAGACTCAGGTTGGCCGCCTTCCCCCTCAGCGAGGGTTTCGGTCTCAGGGCTGGTGGGTAATGTTGGGGAGGTCTCCGGCTGAGCCGTGCTGGTGGGTGTACTTTGGGGCGTTTTCTGCGGGCTGCTCTCCTGTAGCTTCCGCCCCACCTCCTCCATGCGCAACAGAAGACTGGTCACTCGTGCCACAGCACGGTACAGACTCTCCTCCTCCTCATCACCGTGGAACACTCCGTACAGGGTCTTTGTCAAACCAATAAACTGCACCTGGAACACATACAGTCTATTTAATTAAACTGAACTGAATTTATATGGCTTAACCAGTACAAATGTGTTCAGAAATGACAACAAATCATTGTAGAGGTTACCATGAGCAACACTCCTATTACACTTCAATAAGACAAGTCTCCATTTGAGTTTGTGTGTGCTCAAGACAAAGAAAAGTAAGAGCAGACAGACTATGACAGAGAACAGGAATAGAACTGCACTGAACAAGGTTAGTGAGCAGAGAACGGGCACTGATGAAACTATTGTCAAACACCTCAAAGTACTTGTGGAATCATCACTGATCAGGACAAAGCAAACCAGGTGCTGTACTCAAATAAGCATGAGGAATCTTCTTGAAGTGCCATTTCAGAAATGAAATACTCATATTCCTATTAAAAATATATTCATATTCCTATTAAAAGTACACTTACAATATTTTTTACTACTACATTTGTTTTTACATTTTCATTTGTAGGAAATAGTTTATATATTCACTGTCACTTAATAGTTTCAAAAAAGTTTATTTTTTATTTTTTATAAATTCATGTGTTTATTTCGCAAGGATGTATAAAATTGATCAAGTGTCATAAATAAATGCTATTCTTTCAAACTTTCGTTGAATCAAAGAATCCTGATAAAAATGTTTCTACAAAAATATAAAACAGCACAACTGTTTTTAACATGGGTAATAATAAAAGTTGTTTCTTATAATCAGTATATTAGAATGATTTCTGAAGGATCATGTGACACTGAAGACTGGAGTAATGGCTGCTGAAAATAAAAGTAAAAGTAAGCCTTGGTGAACATAAGAGAAAAAAAATGTGCAATGTGCACAAACAAAGTTAAAACAACAAGAAGGTAAACACTGACTGAACACTTAGTAGTGATGCTACCTTTAGTTAATGTACACAGATGAGCTATACATGAACTGGAAAATCTCAGCCATAGAGACAAAAAATCCATCATTCAATCAATCGTTCAGTCATCATTTAATACCATTAACTGTGCAGTTGCTCTAAAAAAAACAAAACAAAGACATTTATTTTTCTGTACACATTTAATTCTGACCACAATTTCATCTTGTGTGTGTGTACCTGATTAATTCTGGGCAGATCTTTAATATTCCCCTCTCTCCGCTGCAAGTCTTCCTGCCACTGTTTCAGATATTCCTGCAGATCTACTTTAGCACGACCTGAGGGGCAAAATACATCAGATTTGTAAACAGCTCCCTGGACTGGCAATCAATCTCTTTTCAACTCAAATAAATATTTTATGTCTATAATTGATGTCTTTTGTTTATCTGACAAGTAGGCAAGTAAAAATGCACAGTAATTTGGTCATTGCACAGTGACCCTGACCACCCTGTTATGGTTTATTTTGTGATATTGTTTGATATTATATAGAGAACATGATTAGAGGACAGGGATGAATACTTCACCTCTCTCTGGACATTTTCTGATCACTCCATCCTCTGCAGAATCTACATGGAAGAGTGGAAAAAATGTGCAGCCACGAAACAGAGATACTTACACATGCTTGAACAGATATACATGCATACATATATTTTAAAAGCTTTTAAGTCTGGGCACGGATTTGAGTTTCTGTTTCTTGTTAAAACCCCAAAATGACGTGTGTTCCTAGAAATCTAGCTGTTTGGAGGTTAGGTGAGACAAGTCCCTCTTAAGTACAAATAAAAATGCTACACACTACACACAAACATTTAAAACTACACATAAGAACACAAAATAAATCACTGACATTATATCACACCCAGAAGAAAGAAGAAAGAGTGAAAAGAAAGGAGGCATAAGTAGCCACAGAAAGGAGTGAAAGCTGACCAGAAAGACGAGTGGAGAAAGAGTGATCTTCAGCTGGAGGAAAAAATCTAGACGACGGTAAAATCTTACACTCCTGGGTCCCTGAAGAAACACACAAAATATGCAAATATGCACACATTCTTCTACTTTTATTCAAATCTGTAAAAAAGTATCAGTCATGATCTGTCATAAATTAATCTGCACTTATCAAAATGGCCTATTATTTTAAAAAGGCACAGTTACACAAACATGTTACATGAACTTATCACAATCAAGAATGATGGGTTTTAGATAAAGTGCTGGTATCTTAGTAGTTACAGATCCGGGCTAATAATCCAAAGGTTATTGGTATTAAATCCCAAAGTATGTACTTTAAATTCCTTTGGATAAAAAAAGTGTCTAATAACTAACTAACTAACTAACAAAATGTAAAATTTACAAATAAAGGAGATGTAGAGGTTAGATATAGATTATACAGGATCATAGAGCGGGCAGATATATAGATTAAACTGGGTTATAGAGATGCATAGATTATATATTTGACCCAACTATTACACTGCATAAATTATTAAGCATTACTGAGGGGTTAGATATATATACTGTATATTATACATATATATGGATAGGTTATATATAGATAGGTTAGACATACAGGTTATGCAGGGTTATACATGGGTCAGATATATAGATTATTAAGGGTTATTGAGTTATACAGACTGCTTAAGGTTGCAGAGGGGACAGATATACAGATATTATAAGTACATAACCATATCTTATGTTTACACTAAACTTTTATTATAGCACAGTGGCAGAGATCATAAAATTAATTTACCTGGTTGAAGGTGCAGTTTGAAGAGAAATGTTAGTTTTTCTGTGAATGATTTGTTGTATAGGATATCTGCAATATACACACACACATACTCTTGAATGAATCTGACAGGTTGTAAAGCTAGCTGCTATGTACTGAGGTGAAAGGTCAAAGGGCAGTCAGTTTAGTTCTGGGTTAGGCTCCACTTACCCAGACCACATATGAAATCTTTGAAGTTCAAAAGTCCGTCTCCGTTCTCGTCCAGAAGCCGGAAGGCTGATCGTGCCAGTGAGCGTGCGTGCGTGTGTGTGGTCCATGGCTGTAGGAGGTTAAACAGGCTACTAAACTGGGACTGATCCAGCTGGTACTGGTCCAGATATGGCAGGCTGGGGTCATGGTTCTGCAGGGCAGGACTACACACTGACCAGTAACAGCTCACAAAGTGTTGCCTCTGTAACACACAAACAGTCAAAAGACACACAAGCTTGCACAGTTTTTTTGCGGCCTTTAGACACTGAAACGCACAAATCTTTTTGCGTAACTCACTTTAAAAAGCATGTAGAGCTCGTCTAGCTGAGCAGCACTGAACTTCACATCTTGAGCAACAACACGCAACTGCAACAATAAGACACAAATGACAGACAATTAAACAATTTACCATGGACAACAATCTTTACTGCCACTGTATGTGTAAACAATGTGTAAAAAAACAAATTATGCAATGTTTTTGAAAGAAGTCTATTATGCTCACCAAGGCTACATTTATTTGATCACAAATACAGTAAAAACAGCAATATTGTGAAATATTGTTACGATTTAAAATAATTGTTTTCTATTCAAATATATTTCAAAATGTAATTAATTCTATTGATGGCAAAAGTTTCAGCATCATTGCTCCAGTCTTCAGTATCACATGATCCTTCAGAAATCAAAAAACAATATTTTTTTTAAACAGAAATCTTTTGTAACAATATAAATATCTTTACTGACTCTTTTGATCAATTTAATGAATTCTTGCTGAATAAATTCATTTCTTAAAAAAATGATTAATGCTCACAAACTTTTGAATGGTAGTGTATATTTTCCAAAATCAAATTTGCCATACAACTCTATGAATGTGGCTTTACAAGGCAGCTTCTATTTGCATGTTTATTTTTTCCCCCGTTACAAATTAGATAATAATCATCAAAACCTGAGTGAAAAGTTATACATGAATTTCTTAGTATTTTGGTGACCTACAAATGCAAGTACAGAATCTTATATTTTTGTTATTTATTTTGAATTTTCTGAAATTCTAATGCTTTGTTTAATATTATATTATATTATGAATGTAAAGGAATAAGGTGCATATAGCATGGCTTTTGTACTTACTACATTTTGTTTTGTCGTGTCTTCTAGTGTCTGAATGACATAAAGTTTGTTCCTCTTCCGCATGTTTTCCACTTCCTCTGTTCGAATGTCTCCATATTTCTGAAATAAACTTCATTAGTTTGAGCAACCGTCTGTTTCAGGCCTTCCATTTGCTGACCCCAGATCTCCTGTCAGAGGGGGGGTTTCCTCATTCCATGCAACTGACCAGTTTGAAAGTGCTGAATTCTTAGGTGCTCGGAAAAATTACACCTTTTCATTGCACATTCAGATTTTACATTCCTATAAAATGTGTCACCATGAGTATAGTTGTTAATTGCCAAAGCATTAACAAAGACATCAGATGCTCCCATCAGATTCATTTTATTAGTCACTTAGTACAGTTTGTTATAAGTTCACTACCTTAAAATAATAAAAAGTCTGCTCTTACTACATATTGTGATAAACCAGAGCTAAAGTCTTCGACAAGAATATGGATTTTAATGTTCACTACAGTATATTAAAGAGTGTAGCTTTACCTCATATGCTTCTTTGATGAGATTGCTGATGTCAACCTTTTGTATTGATTTGTCATTGGCTGTTGCAGAAGAAGCCTGCTGTACGGTAACTGGCAGGGGACTGTCTTTATTTGTGACACTGTCAAAAAACCTGAAGGATAAAACACAGCTTGAGTTTGTAAAAAAAAAAAAACAATTAACTGCAAAAATTGATGCTATTTACAATTAAAGAGCAGCTTGTCATTAAATGACACTCTGTATGTTCAGTCTTTCTGATCATTGCTGACTGAATCACACAACACACAAAAATGTTCCTTTCAATAATAATAATTATTATTATTATAATAATAAACACATTTTTGTGACACTTTTAAATGTTAAATTTCCCCTTTTAATTGTATTATATTGCACATAACATAACTTACAATGCAGCCTGCTACCAACATGCTTTGGCCATGTTAAAAAAAAAAAAAAACAATTAACTGCAAAAATTGATGCTATTTACAATTAAAGAGCAGCTTAAATGACACTCTGTATGTTCAGTCTTTCTGATCATTGCTGACTGAATCACACAACACACAAAAATGTTCCTTTCAATAATAATAATAATTATTATTATTATAATAATAAACACATTTTTGTGACACTTTTAAATGTTAAATTTCCCCTTTTAATTGTATTATATTGCACATAACATAACTTACAATGCAGCCTGCTACCAACATGCTTTGGCCATGTTAAAAGGACAACATTCCAATCACCTGTTGAGGACTGTGACAGCTTCTGCGTCGTCATGGCAACAAAGCAGATTGTCTATATTATAGTCGAGGACAGCAAGGCCAAGTTGCAGGATGGCTTTGATTCCATCATAAAAGAAGCAGTCGACAACATTCACAGCGCTCTCTATTGGCAATACACTGATGAAGAGAGTCAGGAACCATGACAACGACACTGACGAGAAGAACGACAAGTCTGTCATGTGTTCGGTCAGCTGGGTTAGATGCTCACGGATAAGTTCCTCGAACACAGCCTGGTCCACCAGGGCTCCTGGAAAACATACACACACACACAGACTTGAATAATAGTGTATGCAAAAATAAATAGATTCCGTAAACTGCCACTAGCAGCAACAAACAGAATTGCACAGATAATTGCAGACAGAACAGGAGAAAGAATTTAACAAGAAAAAAACTTGATCATTTGATAACTGTAGGGCACACCTTAACAAACTCAGTAATTATAATCCACTTCAGTTGTGAGAGTAATTAACAGTTCCACTGGCATTGTGTTATAATGGCAACCTGCAGGTTTATTAAGATGATTCAATCACCCTCCAGGTATGAGATTTGTATAACCAGCTCTGACACACACACATACCAATAATTCTGCGGTTGAAGTAGTCTGGTAGCATTCGTTCACACACAGCGACCAGCAGCCAGAATGCCTCTTCCTCTTTAGCATACAGCAGCAACACAGATGTCAGGATATTCATTGCCTGGACAGACCGACATATAGAGAACGAGTGAGATATTGTATGTATGTCTTCTAGCGCAACATGAAATAGTTATAATATATGAAAATTAAATTATTATTAGAATGAGAGGAAGTGGAGTTTTTTAATGAATAATGTGAAAAACACAAATATGCATTAGGCTTGCCGTGATAGACGGTGCTGACGTTAAGCCGCAACACCGGTTACGTCACTTGCCCACCGCGGCACGACCCCCACCGTCGTTTTGATTTTTTATAGTAATAAAAATAATTTAGTTCAGTAAAAGAACAGACACTACAATTAAAAACTGAACATGGCTGCTCAATGCAGCGTGCCGAACTACAGTCGTTTTGTATACCTATTTAAACTTTATGTAAGTTATTTGTTATTTTATATTAGGCATAGCCTGCCCTATAGCATGGTGTATTTTTTCTTTTTTTTTATTAATAAAAGTTCTGTTTTATATATAGGCTAAAGTGAGTTTGACGTTGTATTTTGTTGTTGCATTCAAGCAATTGATGCCGAACTGCCGCTAATTCGAAAGTGAAAGTAAAATGCGCACGGTGCTTTTAAGCTATTTAAAAGCGAAGGAAAGCGAGGAAAAAAGGGAAAACTCAAATGAACTAAAAACGAACAAATAGCTTTACGCCAAATTGCCGCTGTTTGAAAGTGAAAGTAAAATGGGCACGCCGCTTTTACAAGCTATTTAAAAGCAAAGGAAAGCGAGGAAAAGAGGGAACGCCCCCACCGGTAAATAGTTACCGGTGATACCGGTATAACCGGTGGTGTCACACATCGATTAACCGGTGGGAAAATTTCCTCACCGTCACAACCCTAATATGCATTTAAAATGACAGAATTTTGTTTTAAGTGAACAGTCCCTCTAAGAGTTTGTGACATAGTTGTATATAAAAATTTTATATAAATAAAAATAATATGGCTTCCATAGCATTTAAAAAAAAATATTATTCTATGCAATCATCATATCCCTCGAATACATAGACTTCACTTTGCATATTTTCTCTGCTTATACTTTGCATACACCAAGTTTTTGATTACCAAAAAAGGTTCACATTTCATGTCCTTTCTGTTTTGCACAGAGAAATATTTTTAAATGAGTTCCATTTATGTTCTTTATTACCATAGATTCCGCTAGTTTTCATTTCCCTCTTGTTTTGTGCAATGTGCAATAAAAATATCTTGTTTGTGTGGGTGTTTATGTGCATAGTAATGAATAATTGCATTTGTACTAGTCTCACAGTTGCTGTGCATGAAGAGGATGTTGCATACAGACATATTGTACACCAACATAAAGTCTGATCCACTTTGAAGCTACAACCATTCACTTAAGGCCCCATTATAATTCAAGAACGAATTGGTTTGACGTAATTTCAAACAAAATCAGGCCAAAACAAAGGGCCTTTAGACATGACAGGATCATCTGATTGACATGTAAACACTTGCTAAGTGAGAATTTTTCAAACATTTTATGCCATGAACCTCATAAACACTACACCAACATAAACCTGAGCAGCTTGAATCGTGCAGACATTCCGAGTGCAACGTGATGGTTTTGAGAAAGCTTTTTAACATTTTTGTGAACAAGATAATTCAGATGTTCTATAAACTGTGCAATTTGATGCTAAGACCATGTGTTAGTCTAAATGAAAAAGTTGTACGTGTGTGTGCTTTTACCTGGCAGTAACCGATTTTGGGGTTGCGATGAGCATAGGCAGTCAAGACACGCCGAAGAGCTGAGATTCCTGTGTCGCTCTGGAATGCTGGGTGTTCTGGGAGGGAGCGATGCAGATCTCTCTCAATCTCATCACACGCAAGCGAGCTGCTGCCCATACACTCCTCCAGTAGCCGCCCATAGTACCCGGGATGAGAGGTCATGTCATGTACTGCACCTATAACACAAGCAAACATACTTGTACAAACTGTGGCACACACCTACATATACATACACACAACCAGAACAACACACACCTGAGAAGAGCATCCACAGTTCTCCTCTGAGAGTCTCTGGAACTCCTCGTACAATGAGGTCACGTGTTTTTTTGGTGCAAAACATTCCAGTTCCACGGCCATATTCAGCAAAATGGATCTGCCACGACTGCTCCTTCATTCGCTCCTTCAGCTGTCAATCACAATATTACCATGTCAACAGTGGGATCCTTACTAATTAAAAACATACACTATCATTCAAAAGTTTAGGGTCAGTAACATTTTTTTAAGATTTTTGAAGGAAGTCTCTTATGCGCACTAGGATTGCATTTATTTGATCAAAAATACAGTTAAAAAACAGCAATATTGTGAAATAATATAAAAATTCAAAATAACTTTTCTATTTGAATATATTTTAAAATGTAATTTGAATTTTCAGCAGTATAATATGGTTATTTGGTGCTCAACTCAAGAACACCTTTCTTATTATTAACAATGTTGAAAACAGTGTGCTGTGTGCTGCTCAATATTTTTGTGGAAACTATGATGCATTTTTTCAGGATTCTTTGATGAATAGAATAAACAGCATTTATTTGAAACAACCATCTTATGTAACATTATAAATGCATTTAATGTCATTACTGATCAATTTAACGCATCCTTGCTGAATGAATATATTAATCTTATTGAGCTCCAACCTTTAAACAGTAGCGTATACCACATGTTTTGATTACATTAATCATCTTCACTAAACTAACATTACACCAATATTGCAATAAGGTTATCGGTACCATTTTGGGGTCAAGGTTTTCTGCATCATGCGGATGAAAGACGTTCATAAGAGCTTCAGTGCTGACGGCTTGACTTTGCCCCACCATAACACCCTCCTCATCCTCAGAGAGAAAAACACACATGCAATCTAGTGTCCAAAAAGTCTCCTCTGGCATTTTTACAGTTGTCACAAAATCATACCATGAAATATGGGATATTTATAATTTGGAGACTACCTGTAATTTTTAATTGTTTTGAAATATATTATCATGATAAGTATATGCATAAAAAAAACACAATTTCTTATATTAGTGGATGGAGTGTAGAGGAATTACCGGATTACTGATGAAATGCTGGGGGCTTCCTGCTGTCCTACACTTTCTGCGGATGGTGGCAGCAAGTCGCTCAAAATCCCGAACCTCAGAAAAACGCAAAGCTCTTTTGCCACGAAGACACACAGTAAGAGCACGACTACTGCGGTCTGGCAGCTCCACACTAAACACCTACAGGCATACATTAATGCCAAAAACACACATAAATCAGCATTAGTGAAATATAAACACAATGATAACAAAACAGCAAAACTAATGAACTCTCCAAAAGTTTAAAGGCAAAACTGTGAGAATGGCCAAAATGGGGTGCCTCAAGACATAATATGAAAAAAACAAAACAAAACTGATATTTATTCTGGATTTATCACTCAGATACTGTAAGTAAAATGTCTTATTTCAAAATTAATTTTCACCCCCTGTTAATGGAAACCACTTAGGTGTTGAAACTAAGACCTCTTGATTAATTTAGGCAGACCATTGTAATAATTCTCTTGAATTTTCTGAAATGGACTATTTTACTGCTTCTGCAACCTTGTGAAGAAAATACACTTTGGCATACTTGTAAAAAGACTACTTATTATGGAAATATTGTGCTTTTAAAGAATATACTTAAGTGAAAAATGAATGTAATGTTTTGGGGCATTTAACAGCATAATAACCGCAATTAAAGTCCATTATATTAAAGCTAACTGCATTTAATAACAGAAAAAAATATATATTTAAACTTATATTAAATGCAATTAGCTTTATTAACCTGCTTAAGTAGAACTTAAGTACATCTTTATATGTAATTTCATAATTCTGTTGTGTTTGAAATATGGTTAAAGTGTTAAGTGTGAGCCGAATGTACTTGCAGGCATTTATGGTAAATGAAAATATACTTTAATGTCATTTCTATTGAAACTTATATGCCATGTATTTAAATATATTTGTAATTACACATTTGTAGCAATGAAGCTATAATTTAGGACATCTAAAACATATGAACTTTAAATATAATATTGAACAACACACTACATCAATTATAATCAAGTATATATTACATTTGCTTTATTATCATGACAAAAAACTATTAAAAGATATTGAATTAAAAGTGTACTTTAAAGTAAAACTTTTAAGTTGACATTATTACAAAGTGAACTTATGTGTGTTGAGAAACATAGTCACGAAAGTGCACTCTAAGTACACTTAGGTGGTGTTTTATGTCATTTATATTATCTGCAAGTACAGTTTTTAAAAAATATACTTTTAAGATCTGAAGTACAAGTGCACATTCAATAGAATTACGCATACTTCTTTTTCTCAAGGGTAGTCTCCATGACAGACTTCTTTGCAGTTTGCAGAAAAATTTGCAATATACGCACCTCCCATAGAGGGACAATGAGATGGCATTGAGAACCATCCTGGCTTGCAAAGCACAGATAGTTCTCAGAGACACAGATTTTCCCAAGCGTATTGACGTGGCTGAATGGAACCCAGAGGAAACTCTCATACACTTCACAAAGGTTCTCCTCCTGCGGCAACCGGAAAAATGCTCGAAATGACTGATTCCGTGCATGTATTTCCAGAGCCCTGCAAAGATTACAGTAGAGTCAGATATTGTCCAGTAAAAAAAGAATGGTAAGAGAGGAATAAAACTAATGCACCTCTGTGTGACGTGAAGGGGGTTGGCCAGTGGATGCTCAGCATTAAATGTTTCTTTGTCGAAGAACCGCACAATGGTGTAGTCGGCCAGCTGCTGCATGATCAGGTATGTCTGCTGGAGCCTCAGGAGCATTGAGAAGAAATGATCCTCTCCACGCACACACACTCGGATGCTCTCTGCCAACAACACACTCGACGTACGTTCCAGACGGCTCACCTCATCCCAGGGATACACCAGTTTCACTTAGCAAGAAATGCACAAACCATGAATAGTATGAGATTTTGGCAGATGCCAACTATAACACTTATAAGGAGAAAACCATAACATATGAAGCACATAAGGTGTTATATGTGACATATCTCTTATAATCCACAGAAGAAATAAAATCATACAGGTTTAGAATGACATGAGGGTGAATAAATGATGACAGAATTTTCATTTTTGGGTGAGCTATCTCTTTAGGACTTTGATATGTAAATGTCCACTGATACATAAACTTAAGTATAATAATATATGTGGGGCCTTGACACCAACAGATTAAAAATCATTTTTTTAATAAACGCATTGTTTTCACATTATAACCATCATAAAATGTTACTGAGAGCTTGTGGTATTACGTGTAAGCAGGTGAGCATGTTTCTTACCCTCATTTCCCAGCATATAGGAGTAGAAACACAGGAAGTTGGTGCTGAGGTAGATCCAGCCCTGATTTGGCACTCGTCCTCTCCAGTAGCTGCAAGAGAAATAAGTCACAAGCTTCTCTCTCTGAGGCACACCGAACAGAAGTTCAAAGCGCAGCACTGCCTCCCGGAAGCGTTCGGGATCCTCTTCGTCACTGGCTGATGTGCCCTCCTCTGCTATCAGACCCTATATACACACAACATATCGTCACTAACATCAACAATCCAAGACCAGCTGCTGGGACTAACTATCTAAAATACAACAAAACACGAAAACAAGAAAGAAAAGCATTCTAAAGTATCTTTAGTACCCTTATCTTTCCCTGGACAAAACTGGTGATGTCTTCGCCAGAATCAAACACAGCGAGAGTTCTGATGATGTTCTGCTGCAGCCAGTCCCAGTGCTTTGAGATCTCCTCTAAAGATGCTCCTTTACACACACACACACATTATATGAGGATCTAAATGAAGAGAGTCACATACTCATTACTGTGTGCAGCATCTCTCTCACCACAGGCAATGTTCCAGTACACCTGAGAGTCGGGCGTCTGGTGTAAAATGCGAAACGGTGCGACTTTGGCTGTGGAGTCAAGAACTGTGTCCAAAGTTCCAACCAGCAGGCCTAAAACAATGACGTAAAACAACAAACATAACACTACAAAAACAATTTATATATATATTTCTTTAAATCTGCAGTCTGATTGAATTTTGAATATAAAAAAATTAACTTAATATAAAAAGACAACAGCAAAAAAAAAAAGCAATATTTCTATTAAGTAGTCATTATATACAAATAGCAGCCAACTATTTTCAACACTGATCATAATAAGACCTGCTTCTTGAGCATCAGATCAGCATATCAGTATAATTTCTGAAGGATCATGTGACACTGAAGACTGGAGTAATGGCTGCTGATTTTAAATTGTAATAATATTTCACAATATTACTGTTTTTCCTGTATTTGTAATGAAATAAGTGCAGCCTAGGTGTGCATAAGAGACTCCTTTCAAAAACATTAAAACATTATATACACACACATATATATTATTATAATAAAATAATATAGAATAATATTAGGTTTGACTAGCACTTGATTTACTTATTTCAATGTCTCTAATGCACATCAGGATGTTAGCAGGGAATTTAATGTTAGTCATTGAAAACTGCTTATACACACACTGCTTCAGAAAGAAGCTGGTGTATTATGGCCCTTAGCCATGAAGCAAAGGTTTCCATGGTGATGAACTCCAAAGGAAAAAAATAGTCACTAATTAGAGTAAAACCTATAATCAGCTCAACAATAATTGTCGCCATATATTCCTCTGTGCCGGCAACTCCTTGACAATATGACATTTATTACTAAAAATGTATTTATTAATAAACTGTTATTTTGTTTTTTTATTAAGTCAAGTCCCATTTATACAATACAGATTGTTTCAAAGCAGCTTTACATTAATAACAGAAAAAACGGTGTTAATGTTGTAAAATTCATCAGTAATGAAACAAATTAAATTTCAGCTGTAAAGCAGATCTACAGAAGATAATAGTGTCATTGTTACAGCGTTGTTTCAATTCAGTTCAATAACAGTGCTGACGTTTCAAAGCTAGTGTCATTATTCAGCTCATTTCAGTCTATTAATAAGTTGTTGTCATCAGTAACCCAACATCTACCACTGCAGACAATTCCCATCAGACCAATGCCAATAAATCTCTAATGCATTAAAATGCACTCTAATATGTACAGCCATACTTCCGATTTGCATTTAATTGCAGGATTGGATTTAAAATTGAGCACCACTTCCCATGACATAGCTGTGGTCCTGCCATGAACTGCCATGCATCAATTGTATATATATAAAAAAGGAATCTCTGAATGAAAGCTCTAAATAAATTAATCAATTATTAGTAGTAATTTGTCAATATTTTTTATACTGGTATTACTGATATTATACTGAGTTCTCATGCGAATGTACATAATTATAATTATATTTCTCAAAACTCTAAAACGGTTCAGTTGTTTGTGTGTAATATTTAATGTTCAATAAGTAAAAAAAAATGAATGAGTGTACCTTTAAAAAAAAACAGATTAAGTTGGCTTAAAATGACATCAAACTTGCAGCAATCATGTTGCCCTTTACTGATAAGATATTCCCAAATCGCATTACCAATCAATACGGCCTTCTTTCAGAGTGACACTAGTGAGAAAGCATCTGCCAGTAAACACGCTGAATCCACCTGAAACCTAAACAAACTGACGTCACAACGTGACGCAACAACTCCTGTCAAAGAGAAGTAGCAGTCCAGACTTACCTGAATATTCTCCGTATTAAACCCGTTTGGACTTCAGCTTCTAAATATATAATATCTGGAGGAATGTTACATTTTTAAGTACCTTTATGCACACGGCCAGTTTACCGCAGTGGTGACGTCAGCACTCAAAAGAGTCCACATCACATCAGTCCACTGACAGTGAAACTTGCAAAATACCTATCTGCAAGGCTGCAGTAACCCTTGACCTGCTGCAAAACCACTTAAGGTTAAAACTAAAAATCAATCGTTTGGAAAATCATTTGAAGTGTGTTTTAAAGTGTAACATCGAAAGAGAGATCCCATTTGGATACATATTAACACATTAACTGAAACATCAGAGGCTTTTTTCTTGTCTAGTATGGTGCTTGAACACGGATATCGGTGCGTTCCCGGTACCTGTCAATCCGCCGCTGTCCTCTCCGTATCCGCGTCTGCGCTGCAGCACGAAGTAATCGTTGGATTTCTCCGTCACCCATAATTTCAGCGCGTTTTTGAGAAGCACCTCTTCGGGTTTGAGCCACATGCTGGAATCTGTTTTCAGAGATACGCGTCCTCTTGCATGACACTGGTTTCATCTCAAGCGCATACACCCACAGACTGAGTGTTGTTTGCTCTTGCACCGCTTTTCCCACGTCGACAGAAACTGAGCCAAAGACAGCAACACCGGCGCCACTGGGATTGTAGTCTTCCACGTCTGCCCCGCTGAGAAGAGGAGAGTGCCGGCCTGAAAACTACCCACTACAATTCCCATAATCCCCGCGCCACCTCATGACTTCGTTTCAAATTATTTAAAGGGAAAGCGACATATGTTTACGACGCGTTGTCCTGATACCGCCCGTAGCCGTTTTTACCTGGAGCTCATCGGGTTCGAACACGCCAATGCCTTTAAAAGAAATCCAGAAATAGGGATGGGAATCGTAAAAAATTAATGATTCCGGTTCTCCTAATTAACGGTTCTTTAAGTAGCCTACTTTTAAAGAAGTAATAAAAGGCGAAAGATGTTTACATTTTTAAAAGGTTATACGTTCAACAACTGGTTCTTAATATGTATTAAAAACTCTAAACGAACAAAATACTGTGACATTTTGTGAAACGCCACGGATTACAAAACAACTTGCGTATTTTCAAGAAACCATTTCATCAATTGCACCATTTAAGTCTCAAATAATACAGTAGTTCTTGGCGCAAGATAAATGACAAAAGCAATACTTTTAGGTTCAGTAAGTGATTCAGATTAGTAACAGCTCCGAACGGTGTTAGGTGTTTTTGATTCACTAAAAAGAACCGAATCGTAAGATTCATTCGTTTCAAGAAGCGATCTACTGGATCGCGCTGTAGATTCATATTTGACTTTTTTGTTTTTGTTTGTTCGTTTTTATCATCGGCGGAAAAGCACACATTTGAGAATCGTTAAAGGAAACGAACATCATAAAGAAAATTGAATAACTGAACAAGAATAATCACATACAAGGGCAATTTCATAAAAGATTTTATTTACAATGTTCATTTTAATGTTAGTACTATTCATTTGAAAGAGTAAAGAAATACTTCATCCCTTATTTAAATATTAAAATCAAGAGAACTTTTTCCTTTAAAACCATCCCTATTATGTCTATGTAGTGAGTAATATACATTTGCACACATACATTAGTGTGTAAGGCACAATACTTCTGAAATTTACAATTTCCATCAAAACTGGAACAATATAATTTATTAAGCTACAAAAAGAGGGGGAAAGTACAGCAAGTCCACTGATTTACAGCAGGTGGAGCACTGTGTCTCTCTCTCTCTCTGTGTCTCCACAGCTGCTCATCATTACACTTATGAAGGCAGAGTCTCAAACCCTGAACACAACCACAATGGGAATTATACCCTGAATCAGAAATCACAATTCCCTGAATTAACCACAGACAATTAAAATATGACCTCCGATTGACCCAGAAATCATTGTGATCACCCACAGAGAAAAAAAAGAGTCACACACAAACAGAGAGAGAGAAAGAGAGAAAATTTATAGGCACTTAGTCAGAAACTAATCAGAAAAGGGCTCAGCAGTGCTTTGTTATAAGTCCTCAAATCAAAAACCCTTCATTCATCCGTATGAGTGCATTGTATCAGTGTTTGTTTGTGCTGCTCAGGTCCTGACTTCACTCTGGCTGTGAACGTCACCCTCGAAGGCAAGATTATCATAGTGGGGCGACACATCCAACTGCTCCTCTTGCACACCTGCAAACCAATCAGACCAAAATACCAATATCACACCATTCACATCAACTGACCTTATAACACTGGCTCCAGAAATATGCCTTTCTATTGATTTTCTCCAATGCGGTTTTAAAAAATGCAGCATTAGCATGCAGTATTTCTGTGTTTTCAGCAAAGTAGATCTGAATATTTCCATGCTGGTGCCACCACTGCCTTGTGCATGAGGGACCAGGACCACAATTTCAGTAATTATGCACAGAAATGTTAAAGTAACTGTTACTTGCCCTGTCCTTAACACTAATTACATCATGATTATTGGTGGGTATAACTGCAAAACAACACAAATATCCTGTAAATATCACCACCATTTTTAAGAAAAGCCAGAGCAAATTCAATTTCGGGCCGCAAAAAAAAAAAATCCTGGTGGAACGGATATACAGTACTGTCCTGTTATTCACACTCACAACTAACGTGTATATGTAAATTAATGTAGTGAGTAATATACATTTGCACACATACATTAGTGTGTAAGGCACAATACTTCTGAAATTTACAATTTCCATCAAAACTGGAACAATATAATTTATTAAGCTACAAAAAGAGGGGGAAAGTACAGCAAGTCCACTGATTTACAGCAGGTGGAGCACTGTGTCTCTCTCTCTCTCTGTGTCTCCACAGCTGCTCATCATTACACTTATGAAGGCAGAGTCTCAAACCCTGAACACAACCACAATGGGAATTATACCCTGAATCAGAAATCACAATTCCCTGAATTAACCACAGACAATTAAAATATGACCTCCGATTGACCCAGAAATCATTGTGATCACCCACAGAGAAAAAAAAGAGTCACACACAAACAGAGAGAGAGAAAGAGAGAAAATTTATAGGCACTTAGTCAGAAACTAATCAGAAAAGGGCTCAGCAGTGCTTTGTTATAAGTCCTCAAATCAAAAACCCTTCATTCATCCGTATGAGTGCATTGTATCAGTGTTTGTTTGTGCTGCTCAGGTCCTGACTTCACTCTGGCTGTGAACGTCACCCTCGAAGGCAAGATTATCATAGTGGGGCGACACATCCAACTGCTCCTCTTGCACACCTGCAAACCAATCAGACCAAAATACCAATATCACACCATTCACATCAACTGACCTTATAACACTGGCTCCAGAAATATGCCTTTCTATTGATTTTCTCCAATGCGGTTTTAAAAAATGCAGCATTAGCATGCAGTATTTCTGTGTTTTCAGCAAAGTAGATCTGAATATTTCCATGCTGGTGCCACCACTGCCTTGTGCATGAGGGACCAGGACCACAATTTCAGTAATTATGCACAGAAATGTTAAAGTAACTGTTACTTGCCCTGTCCTTAACACTAATTACATCATGATTATTGGTGGGTATAACTGCAAAACAACACAAATATCCTGTAAATATCACCACCATTTTTAAGAAAAGCCAGAGCAAATTCAATTTCGGGCCGCAAAAAAAAAAAATCCTGGTGGAACGGATATACAGTACTGTCCTGTTATTCACACTCACAACTAACGTGTATATGTAAATTAATGTTTCCACGACTCTATTAACATTAATGTGTGACATTCAGCACAGTCACTCTGCCTTTCTGTACATTTGTATGTGAAAGGTAAGTAGTATAATCACAACAAGTTGGGAGTGTGTTCCTAAATATTGGGAGAAATGTGATCGTGTGCATTATTTCATACCATTTTGTGTGCCTTCAGCAGGGCCGAGGTGTTCATTTCCATGCATGGATGCATATCCAGAGTATGCGGTCTCACTGTGTGTATGTGACACTGTCTCACTGTGCAGGTCTTCAGAGGTAGAAAAAGATCTGAAATCTGGCACTGAAATCTGTGGCTGCTCCTCCACATCTATCTACAAAAGAAAGAAATAACATTTCAGCAAATATCTGGCCAAATTTGTGTGTGCATTGATTGAACGTTCTAAACTGAAAACTAGAATTTTCCTCCAATTATAGACTTGGACTTGAAGGGGGAAGGAATAATATCAGCCTGCTAAATACACACTGCCAAAGGAGGAAGAACAAACTGGGCTAATTCTCCTGCTTTCTGTATATGAAAGTCATGGTGACTAAGCAACAGTCCAGTTTCTGTGAGACCAATCTTTATAACAACAAGTGACAGAGGATCCACCCAATTTCCAGTTACTGTAATCAAGGTTCATGACAGGACAGTCAAGATGTGGACACATCAGGCACAGTTACTTACTAACACCATTTTCTCATGAACTCCTCTTATAACAGGTATGCTGCTTTTTTCACCTTGGGTCAAGGAGATTCTTTGGAACAGGCAGAACAAAGGTAAGCTCCCAAGGTGCAAGAAACACAGTGGGGGATGCTCCGGTGTTCAGAACAGTCTATCCCTAGGGTATCAACCCAATCTTTCTAGTATACTGCCAGCCAATATCCAGTCCTTATAGAACAAGCTGCCTTATATTAGGCCTGAGATTAAATACCAGCAGGACAATAGAGACGGCAACAATTTCTGCCTGACTGACAGATGAAACAGTCATTCTTTTCTCACTCACTGCAAACACAGAACAGCTAAAAGTAGTAAAAAGATGTGTTTTATGGTTAAAACTAGCTAGTGTGACAACAAGAACACTGCAATGAAATGTTTTTCATATCACTACTTGTGGAAGTTAATGAGGCCCACAGCTGCACCATCGAAAGCATCCTGTCAGGCTGTAGCTCTGCCTGGAATGGGAGCAGGATCAAAGAAACTTATAAAGGACATTACGGGCAACAGAATGTAACACCATAGATGTGCTGCCCAATCTGTCAGATATTTTCACCAAAGTGAGCAGGACTAAGCATCCCAGTTATGTCTCATTGCAGCAGAAAGGCAAATACCACCATAGCCCATTAAAAGTAGCAATGTTTCTGTAGTAAGTCAATACAATACAGTAATATTATTTATTTATTTTAAATACAATTTTAATTACATATCTGTATATTGAATCGCATAGCTGTGTAAAATGTGTAAATGTATATTGTGACAATAATATATACTACCGCAAAAAGTTTGGGGTCAGTAATTATATATATATATATATATATATATAATTACTGACCCCAAACTTTTTGCGGTAGTATATATTATTGTCACAATATACATTTACACATTTTACACAGCTATGCGATTCAATATACAGATATGTAATTAAAATTGTATTTAAAATAAATAAATAATATTACTGTATTGTATTGACTTACTACAGAAACATTGCTACTTTTAATGGGCTATGGTGGTATTTGCCTTTCTGCTGCAATGAGACATAACTGGGATGAAGGCTGCATTAATTTGATCAAAAATACAGTAAAAACTGCTAAAATTTTAAATAGCTGTTTTCTACTATTTCATAAAATGTAATTTACTACTGTGATGGTAAAGTTGAACTTTCAGGAGCCATTATGTGACGTGACGTGACATGTGGCCAAGTATGGTGACCCATACTTGGAATTAGTGCTCTGCATTTAACCCATCCAAAGTGCACACACACAGCAGTGAACACACACACACCGTGAACACACACCCAGAGCAGTGGGCAGCCATTTATGCTGCGGTGCCCGGGGAGCAGTTGGGTGTTACTCCAGTTACTCCAGTCTTCAGAGTCACATGATCCTTCAGAACTCAATCTAAAATGCTTGTTTGGTGCTAAAGAAATATTTCTTATTATTAATGTTGAACTAAAATAGTTGTACTGCCTAATATTTTTTTTCAGGATCCTTTGATCAATAGAAAGTTCAAAAGAACAACATTTATGTGAAGTAAAAATTTTATGCAACATGAAAAATGTCTTTACGGTCACTTTTAATCACTTTAATGCATCCTTGCTGAATAAAAGTATTTTAACAAAATAAATCTTACTGAGGCCAAACTAAATTCTGTCTCGTCATTTTTCAAAATGCATAGGAAGTTTCAGGAAAAAGCATTTTACTGCCTCAGTTGAACATGTGCCAAACAAACTTTGTGCTGAGGTGTGTCACTGCTGATGGTGCTCTATCTACCTTCACTCACAGGCACAATAAATGACTTCATTTATGAAGGTGACCAAAGACCAAAGAACACAACATCTCTCCCAGCAGCAACATTAGTCAACACAAACATCAATGAACTGCTGCTCCCTGTCACACTCTGCATGACTCAGAACTCAAATGCTCTATACACGACATGTCTCACATGGAACCAGAATTTCACCAAAGCTTTTGAACGTCTGTCCCTCTTTTCCTACCACATGAGGAACAGAGAGAATTTGGCCTGGTCTCCTTATCCTTTTTAAATAATAATGCTTAGTAATGTTATGTTCTTTATTTAGCAATTTTTCAAGAATTTGTATCGCCATGCTAACATTTAAAACTGAAACTGAGAGAAGAGGAAATAGTTACTGTTTGTTTGCATTTCAACTGTTCAGAAGATAAAAGATCTTAACACTAAGACTGTGTCTGAAACCTGAAAAATTATGCCTTATGTAGTATCCGAAAAGCATTAAGGCACTTTTTTTTTACATTACATCCTGCCTCCATCTGGTCCCTCTTTGATCTGGTCCTCTGCCTTGGATAACCCACAATCCTGTGCATGCAGTTTGTTGGTTGGTTGAAAGAATAAAAATGACTTCTGATAAGAATGGTTGAAAAAAGTAAATGAATTCATAAATGTCTTTATTTTACGAGAGAGCTCAGTGCGCTGCAACTTAAGAAAACACATGCAAATAGTAGAAGCACCAGCAAATTAAGAAAACATCATCAGTTTGACAACACGTGCTGCAAATACTAGCAACACAACCAAATGCAGAAACACACTGCAAATACAACTCAAAAAAGCATTGCAAGTAGCACAGACCACAACAAAAATGTTTAAAGGGGACCCCAACAACCCTTACGAATATTAACCATGGTTTACTTATAGTAAAAGTGTAGTAACCATGTTTTTTGGCATATTGATTACCATTTGTATAACCATAGTTGTACAAATACCATGGTTAAACTATGGTTAGTGTAGCAAAACCATGGTTAATTTTTGTAAGGAAAGTTGTAAAAGTATGTTAGCCAGCTTACATAACGTTTCACAGTTAAGGTAATTGTGTATTTCATCAGCTTATTTAGGCTAATGATAATATCCAAAAGGAATCATATGATCAGGATGTTAAAATAAACAAACATCTCACCTTTCAGAGTAGACATTGATAAGCATGTCCCAGCCAGGTTCGTCACATGTTGCGGTTCCCTTAAACATTTCTCATGTGCTCTGTGCATATTTGCAGCGCATTTCTGTATTTGGTCGCATTGTGAGTATTTGCAGCATGTGTTGTCAAACCGATAAAGGCATTTTCTTAATTTGCTGGCATTTTTTATATTTGCATGTGTTTTTTCATTTGCAGCGCGTTGAGCTTTCTTGGCCCCCGTATATATATATATTTTTTTACTTTATTTCAACTTGATTCTGTGTCTCAAATAAACATACGGAACTGAAAAAGACTACAGATTAATTTGCTAGCTTTATGAAGTGGAACGCTGGACTTCACTCTTAGTGTGAAAACTCACCTCAACTCCAAGGGCTTTAAGAATGTCACACTTGCACATTGGGCAGGTTCTGTGCTCCAGCAGCCACGGCTCTATGCAAGATTTATGGAAGAAATGACTGCAAATACAAAAACACAACCGTACAGCAAAATTAAGACCAGAAAGACAGGAAAAATTCTGATTTATAGTGAAAACAATGATTGAGGGAGAACAGAATAGAGTGAAAGACAGAGAGACATACTTGCATGTGAGAACTGATAGAACATCTCCTGGTTTATACAACTCAATACACACTGCACAGGCATCAGCATCAGGGCCAGTCTCCTGTAAAACAAACACACACACAAATCATCAAAACATTGTTCAAACCGAAGGTTCTTCAAGTTTTTGTACATCTGCAGTTATCCTGCTGATAATAAGCCATTAAACAGAATCTTTCATGTTTTGTCTGTACAACAGTTAAAAAAACAACACCCAATTTTTATGCTATATTTTATGATGTATTCCAGCCTTTGACTCAATGCACTGTCCAAACATTCTTCTGTTACATATGTGGCCTAAAAATTATAATTTTCAGAAGACAGCAACATGAAAATGAAAGCATAAACCCACAAGCACTTACAAATAAAGTAAACCCACAAAAACGTACAACACACACACAGACATACATATATACTAGGGCTGGGTTTTGACACAAATTTCACAATTCAATTAGATTATCCTTCCCAAGCTTTCGATTCGATTCAATATAGATTATTTTGGATATATATGAGGTACAGGACATGGCAAATTTTCCCAATGGAAAAAAAATCTACCAAGTCAATAGTCAATAATATGGAAGGTTGAAATTTGCTGATTTGTATACAAACACAAATATACTCAAAAAAGTTGTTGTAATATTAAAGTTATAATACTTACTTTAACTTTAAATTACATAATTATATTTCTACTCCAATTCATTTTTTGAAATATAAAAATTTAAAGGTCCCATATTGTCAAAACTGAAATTTCCTGGCTTTTTTCATGATAACTGAGGTCTAGGTGCTATGTAACTGCCATATAAGTTTCAAAACAGTCAGTCCACAGTAAAATGCACACAGCCTGCATAAAGTAGCTGTGATTTTTCACGAACCGTTGTGACTTCCACAAAAAGTTGATGTCAGAACCACCCTGAGCACCGCCCACAGTCCCACTCTCCTTTTGCCAAACCTCCAGACAACATCGCGTCCATGCCATTGCTGAGCAACAACAACACGGAAACATGTCGAAAAGGTTCACTTTAACCACGAAACCAGATTGGCCAACCTGTAACGTTACACTCTCACGCAAAGGATGGACGATCTGACAGGATTGTTACTATTGGCGCTTTTCCACTGCATGGTATGGCACGGTATGGCTCACTTTTGGGGGGTTTTCTACTGGGTACAGTACCTGGTACTTTTTTTAGTACCACCTCGGTTGAGGTTCCAAGTGAACCATACCGTTACCAAAACGTGACGTGTAAACTCTGCTGATCACGGATTGGCCGGAGAGAATTACGGCACGGTACGGTTCACTTTTGGGGGGTTTTCCACTGGGTACAGTACCTGGTACCTGGTACTTTTTTTAGTACCACTTCGGTTGGGGTTCCAAGTGAACCGTACCGTTACCAAAACGTGACGTGTAAACTCTGCTGATCACGGATTGGCCGGAGAGAATCGTCACTACCTGCGTCACTGAACTTGCGACACAAACACAACAGAACCGCTAGATTTAAATCAGCACAGCCAGCGAAGGATCGAATGCAACTGTTTTGAACAAGCGCACCTTTTTTCAACAACCAAAAAGTGGCTGTTTTGTTGTCTGTTGAGGAAGTACAGACGATCCTCTCGTTGATAGCAGAGGAGTGGATCCAGTGAGCTTGATGGGGCGACGTGGTATGAGAAAGTTTTTCAGGAGTCGCAGCAATAGAGGCGGCGCAACTATAACGACATGTGAATAATCCCGCCCACTCTAAAGCGGTACTGAACTGCAGTGGAAACGCAAACCGTGCCGTGC